ATTGCAGCAATATCTTGAATACTGAATGGTATTAAATGAAAAATGTTTATTCCTAAATTACTATAAATATTTTAGGATTATCTCGGGGTTGTGCAATCGAAGTACGAGCCATCACTGACTGGCAGTAATAATTCCTGCCGCAACATCTTTGGTAACTCATAAGTGATTCCAAGCAGGACGTCCAACAAACGATAGTTTGTGATTATGAGAGATAAATATAACTAAGTTCCAAATCAATCTGAAGAAACAACATATTTAACATTCTATGCATAATTGCTGTATTAAAAATAATCAAAGTCGTTAGTAGATGTTAAGAAATTCAGAACTAGTAATTCACATGGGCACTTCGGTATCTTTTTCATCGTACTTTCTCTTCTTGGTTTATAGCACCATATAGGACATACTGTAAAACTTTTATCTGCGATATCATGTGTGAAATAGCCCAAATCTTGTGTTCGCGTATAACGCTCGATTATGCTATTATATTATGTGTGCAGAACAACTTTGATTTATTTGAAATTTCAGTAGGATGCTGAGGTTCCCGAAAGCGTTTTAATTTTCATTGATATTTTAGAAAATTATATGAGACCATAGGGTAATGACAATATGGATTTGTTATTTAGTCGGCCCAGCCATTTTTTTTCACGTAGTAACAAAAGCGTTGATACACCTTTTCAATGGTTGTCCGGTAGAAAATATTTACTAGCTATAAAATAGCTCATTTTGCTGGCCTTGCCTTATGTGTTCTGATGTAAGGAACAAGGGTTTAACTGCAAACTCGGTGCAACTCGCGTTTTTATTCCAAGAAATCTTTAAAAAATTAGGAGGTACTAAGACTTAATATTTGTGTGCATATTACGTTATGTAGTGACCTGCAGCAGCGAATATGCCGCTGAACAAATTCAAACTAAATGGTTCTCCAGAAAGTAGTACGCACTTTTCTCAATAACAAAATATAAAATAATCCCCTAAAATACTCCAATAAATTCAGTATTTTAACAAAAACAGTCCTCACGAGTACTGCAATAACATTATTTATAACAAATTATTATTATTATTATTATTATTCATATAAATATTTTTATTGTAATCCATCTCTACTTGATTATTAGCTACACCTTGACCTGACATAATATACATATTAAATATAATGAAATTTTATACTCTCAACAAGATAATCTTACTGACGACGGTATATAAACTGATAACAAAATCAAGTTACATAAATCGTGTATTATCAATTACAGAACAGATTCCTCTGAAAGGACTAAAACACCGCCAAATTCTTTGGGTTTCAAGATCATAACTACTACTACCCTGATTTTATTATTTACATAATTTATAATAGGGTATCTAATCCTAGTTTAAATTTATTAATTTCGAAGATTCATTAAATCACTTATCAAATAAATAAAATTTATTCATTTCACCAAAAACAATTTTAATATAATGAAAACAATTATTATTATTATTATTATTATTATTATTATTATTATTATTAACAAATTATTATATATTCAATAACGTACAACAGTTGTTTATACCAAGTATATCAATGTTCTTTAACTCTCTTAGAGAACTAAAATAGCTGTTCTATATCGCAATACATGTAGCAAATACTTAAAGCGGTCGGTCTCTTACCTGGAGCTTTGTCGCATGACGTCAGCTATGTCGTACGACATAAGGCAATGAGTATGAGAATTCAGTCGGTACGCTGTGTGAGAATAGGCAGAATAACACAATCAAATATTTGCATTTTTCAATCAAATCAAAACTGTTGTTTTGCTTTTTTTTATTTTCCCCTAATTTTAGAGTAGTATCTAACAAAACCACCTCATATGGCCGGAGGCTGCACAGCACTGCGGAAGATTTACCTGGGAGCGCAATTTGTACAATGTGCCTTTTGGACTGGCGATGGGCGAAGAGTCATCAATTTGGATAGTATAGCTTGCGGCTTTGACATTAAAAAAAGTGTTGATTCTTCACTTCCTCTCCACGACCCGGCTCCTATTTTGTGCGCCTCTATACCCAAACGTTTTGATCGTTCCAACGAATATCTGATTTGTAACTCATTGTGAATATAAGGAATGGAAATTCGATAATATTTCTCGAATAATTAATAATTAGTTGTTTCAAATTAATAATAATAATAATAATAATAATAATAATAATAATAATAAGCAATAACACATTTAATTAATTTACAACAGTACTATTGCAATGAGGCTTGAAATAGCGGCATGCATCCTCGGATGAAAAATAAATTAAAAAAATACTTGAGGCTAGAGGGATGCAGCACAAATTAATCGCTCTAAATGAAGTAGTTATAATTTAAAAATAGTCTCATAATAATAAGTTAATATTGTGAATTGTATTTTTATTCATATATTTTTCTTTCGCGAATATATGGGCGTCTGGCATGTAAAATTCGGGAGGGGGCATGAAAGGAAGTAAATATCTCTTTGGGATTTTAGCTTAAGCCGACACTTTTTATTGATTTATTGAAGTTACAGAGGTACATGCGGTAGATTAAGTATTAGCTCTTCAGTAATATACACGGATGATAAACTCAGAAAACGACGGCAGGTACGTAGACGAGAGGGTATAATAGAAGCGCTTAGAGCCGTAGGGGGCCGTCTATAAATTACGAAACGCAAATATGGACTATTTGCAATATCTCCTCTCCCTCTTGTAGCGCACGTTTGAACCCCCTTAAATAATTACGTAACGCTTGTGATCCTCCTGTATATGCAGGAAGTGAAAATAAATGATAGCACAGTAAAAACAATTTGTATTTATTTTACTTGTGTTGTATACTAAAATTAATGATCATTAAAGTAGAAATTAGTTGGCGATGCTGGCTGCACCTAACAATAAGATTGGGGCACGTTGTGAGTGAAGGAAGAACGCTTGGGCGAGAAATTGGTTGATCACAAGCTGTGTACACGCCGTCGTGAATGACACATTAGCGAGACTACAGCGCCAATTTCAATGGATTCTACAACATACTCGTATATGTTTGGAATATTTTCTTCGTAATCTTACAGTTTAAAAAATCCATTTATTTAATCTTACAGATTAAAAAAAAATCCATTTATTTTATCTTACAGATTAAAAAAATCCATTTATTGTAACAATTTACAACTAATAACTTTAGTTTATTTATGTTTTTTCAAAATAATGTAATTAGTTATTTGTTTAATGTTTTAGTACAGGACTAAAAAAGGAATTATTTCAGCACATGTTGAAAAATGTTATATATATATACACACACGTTACACTTAACTAATACTCCCCTACCACTAAATAACGCAGCATAACGCTGCCTCAGACCCCCCTCTCTTTAGCTGCTTCTGCGTAATTCATGGACGACCCCTAAACTTATTAGTCGTGTTAGCAAGCAACGTACTTGCACAGATTAATACCCTGCGCTGATTTTCTATAGATACGAAAATGTAGGCCTGATCGTTTGGCAGTCTGTTATTATAATTAATAAATAACATGGTGTATGTTGTACTAAAAGTGTCTTTAGTAAAAAATAAATGAGAAAAACTACTGAATGTACTTTAAAATATTGGGGGAAGTAGGCCCCCTGTTCCTCACTAGAAACATCCGTAGGTAAACAGTATTTAACTAGTATTTTCTACGTGAAACAAGAGAAGAGTGTCGGTAGGAAAACTCACCTCTTCGAAAATTATCCGGTCAGCTAATTCCCCAACGACGTCGTCAGAATCGTTTTTGTCGTGCTTTCATTGACAGTCAGCATCTTTTTCACACTTCAAAGGAAGGTGTTTCTTACCTATCTACGACAGTTTATTAAACAGACTGTATTATAAAGGTCACTCGGCACAGATTTTTTTCCGCTGAAAATTATTCTTTCTTTCTGATATGAACAAATGACACGGGAAGAAATTATTCACGGAAGTCTTCGATTATTCCATGATCAATTAAATATAGTAACTAAACAAAAAACTGCAATCTGAAAGGAAATTCCACATGTTGAAGCAACTCCGCAATATTAATGGACGGAATTATATAAAATTAAATTCAGGGTGGATTCAAAACATATTTCAGTTTTTAAATCCATTTATATTTTTGAAACACTTTTGAAAGTTTTCAAAAGATATTATCTTAAAAAAAAAGTGTAAGGGAATATATCTTTTGATTGTGCAGAAATCAATATGTGGTAATTACAAAATTTGAATATATATTAAGTATAACAATTATGATGAAGGATATCTGTTGGGTCTGGGTATGTTCCTGGGTTAAATTGTTGTGACTAATGTGCTTCCAATCAAAATACCTATTCACTATTTGATAATGTTATTTTCAAATCTTTGAATGCAATTTTTTGGCAGGGGTTTAGACTTTATTCAGTTCTTAGCACTACCCAGGAAGATAACTATTTGTTTTATAGAAGAATTCCACTGACAACTTGTTAATGTTTCATTACATTATTGCATTTAGAAATCTTTCGTGAAGAAACTTTCTTTAAAGTTCATTGGAATATTTTTAATTTCTTACAATAAACCAACAGGAGAATAAATATATTTTAATTCCATGAGTAAAATTTGTTTTCTCTGTTCTTCTGTAAATATATTCAGAGAATATTTTGATAGAACAGTTTTATTAATAGTTTCAATGATGTTTGTGATACTGAAACATTGGTTTTTACAAACCTGCTAGTCAGCAGCTCTGTTAATACTCCCTTACACATAAGATTGAGTTTTATTTTTATTGTTTGGTAGGCCTAGTTACAATTGCTACTTGGACCTTATTTTTTTTTCTGGCTCGCTGTATTTTAACTAGAGGAATGAAGGTGAAACCTATTACATACAAAACTTTTTAAGATATGCATTACAAGATCAACACTCTAAAAATCACATATCCCCAAAATATAACACTAAAAAATTAGAAATTTAAAGTTTTCAAGAATAAATATAATAATTTTATTAAGACTCACACTTCTGACTAGTGACTAATATTTTGTAACATTCTTGCAATCGAAATATTACCATTACAAATAAAAGACATTATCTTAGATGTCGATAACTAAAAACCTTATTGGCTCATATCCACTGGGTGATCATGCAACGGTTTAAACATTATTAATTAGTTTACTAGAAATAGTGATATTTTATTCATATTCTCTTCCCACCTACGTTTTCTGCTAGGCTTCACACATTTGGCATGCCTTCGCAAGCGCGCCAACACTCCAACTGCATAAACCAGAAACTCATCGGCGTCTTTGGTAGTTTCTCATTTTGACATTAGATAGCGTTCTCTATGTTTGCATTCTTGGAAAGTAAACGTAATATACCGCTGCACATTCTGTGCCAGATCCATCCGCAGGGCAGCGAGATTATGCTTTACTCCCGTGATCTTGTGTTACTCGTGGAAGAAAATCGACAAGCTTTCCACTGGGAAGTTTCGAAAAAATGAAAATGGAGGACTAGGCGGTCGTTCACACTCGCTCTTCATCTTGTTTAACTAACGCATGTCATATGTTTGACAGAATGTACACATTACGCGTCCGCACATTCAGTTTTTAATATAACAGAAGGGCAATGCACTGTGGGTACGAATTTTGTGAAGCGCATGCGCAGTTCAGTTTACAGTTGGACTTCATGAGAAAATGGCGTCGGCAAAGTATTTGGAGGATGCTCTGAATGCAGACGTCGATGAATCGGCAGTGAATGCAATAGTAGGATCACTGGAAACTCAACTCGTTACCACAACACCTCCCGTTTCTAACCAGCAGGGAAGTGCTACTGCAGTGAACCAGAATCATGTAAACAGTGCGATAGCAAACGGGGGCACTGTCTCTGCACAGAAACATGGTGTAACAAACGGCGGTCCAGGATCTATTAATATTCTTAATTCGGATACAAGCAAAACTATCACTACGACATCACTTCAGAGTAGTAATGTTGTGCATTCGGGTGTTGTTAATACTGTTGTAGCATCTTTACATGGTGGAGTGCCAGCCAGTGGTTTCATAAATCAAGTAACTTCAAGTGCAAGCCAATCAAATTTAACTACATTGACTAAGCCCCCCGAGCCTGTGAAGTTAGTGTATCCTTCAGGTAGTCAGACATTGAATAGTAGAGTTACATTTCAACCGGGAGCTCTCCCCAATGGCAATTTAGGTCTTGCCCCACTCTCATCACCAACAGTGCAGTTAAATGCTGTGACAAGTGTGCAGAATGTTGTTACTCAAACACATACACAGTCTGTTAATACTGTTTCTAAACAGCTTGGCGGTGTTATTAGTGTAGATCATGCAAAGACGCAGGGAACAACATTAGTGATCAAAGCTAGCGGGACTCCCAGTGTTACCCAAGGCACTCCTTTAGGGGCGAGTGTTGTGACTGTGCCAATGACTGTGAATAGTTCGATGACACTAACAGGTACATATGTGAACACTGCTGTTGGTACTACAACTACATCTGGAATGTCAGGAGTAGTGACACTTGCGAAGCCAGTAACGCATACAGTTGGCGCATCACAAACAATAGTTGGTAACCCTCCAGCTACTATTTTGCCTGCAAATGTACAAATTGTCAATGTCAATCCTGTGAGGCCAGGTACTCCTGGTCAACAAGGACAAAAAAATATGGCTTCAAGAGTGGTAATAGGGGCCCCGCACATGGTGGGGGCCAGACCTGGTCAGCCAGGGGTAAGTGTGACATGAATATAGGAAATTGTTAAGTTATGATATCGAATTACAGTAGTAGTGAGTATACAGACTAATTTGTGACAAATGAATTTGGTGTCTAATAATGTTTTATATCTGCGGTTATGTTGTATGAAAAACCTCATAGCAGGTATGCAGTTAGTAGGTGTTTTTGACACAAATGCTTTTGTCTTGATGATTTGTAGAAGTAAATCTGAGATAGGATAGTGAAGTGGTAAAGAAACTGTCAAGTTAAGTGATTGTGCTAAAGTGTTTTAATGTATGAAGCTAATAGTTACTTCTGTTAAGTGCTCTTTTTAAAAAAATATATGAAATATGAAAAAAATATGAAATTTATATTTTTATTACTAGTTATTGATATGACAGATAATATCAAACAATGGTGCAAATAGATTGTAGACCACATCAATTGCTTGTGCATCCCTATGTAGGTGGTTCTCTTCTATTTTTAATGAGGAAAAACTCATTTTGAAAGAAGAGACTGAAGGTGTCAAATATATTGTCTGAAATCGAAATGGATTGAAAGATCAAGTTACATGACAGAATGCTCTGACTGTAATCGTGAACATACCTTTTTCATTCAGAAATATTGATTTTGTTATGTTATTTTTGGATGGAGGTATGTAGAATTATGTTTCGTATTGAACTTGTATTTATTCTGTAAATTCCCAACATTAGCTCACTTAAATTTCATGAAATTCCATTAGAACATTTCCTGTTGAGCTGGTACTTTGCAGGTTTTTGGTAAAGCTTGTGTATCTGTGTTGAGGGTCATAAACAACAAATTTGACAGATATTGTTAGTTAAATTGACAAGTATTGACAGATTGTCAATTCTGAAATTAGAGCTTAGACCTTCATAAAATATTCCTGAATATGAACCTTCTGACGTTTGTCAAGGTGACATTTTATAATTGTTTCATGTTTATAATAATAAAAATGTCACCTAGTGTCTCATTTGCACCTAAGAACATTCTGAGGCTTCTCTTTTGCAATACTTAGAGAGCCAATTTTGAGACTTGAGGTTATGTATTTACAAATTTTATTTTTATCTTCCCCCTCTTTTTTTTTACGGAAAATTACCAGATTCCAGTGAAATTTGTATAGGATACTTTGCTTATACAGGTTTTATGTTACAGCCTATGGTAATACATTTTATCATGCATTACACTTGTGTTGTTTTGTTGTTAATATAATTAATTTAACATTGTTTTTTTTTCTTATTTAAAATTTAATGTGTTTATTACACTGACTTTCATGCCTACAGCAACATGTTCCAAAACAATATCAGAATATATCATTTTGTATTATGAGACTGGAAATATTTTTCTCAAAATTATATAGATGTATGTTGAATAAGATATATTAAAGTGAACCCAAAGAATTAAGACTTGCGTGTCTGCGGAATAACTAATTATGGTGAAAGTGGTTTCTAAAACGGCTTTCTAATACAATTTTTGTTACTTATTTTAGCAAATTACTCTACAAACTTTGCAAGGGCTGCAAGCCGGAACGCAAGGTCACTTGTTGTTGAAGACTGAAAGTGGCCAGTACCAGTTATTACGAGTTGGCCCAGCCCCAACTACCCCAGGAGCAGCTATTGCACCAAGTGCTACTGCCAGCATTCCTTCAGGAGCTACGTATCGAATCCAGTCGGTTCCAACAGTAAGTAGAACACTACTCTTTGTAATTAGTGCAGCTTCGTTACTATAGTTTCACTTGTTACTATTTCAGCATTACAGCAGATGTCCTTTTCAAGAATGTAAGGATCACAACAAAATATTAAATGTATGAACAAAATAATAATTTGAAGAGATAAATATTGTTTTTTATTATTTTAGCAGGGAGCTGTTGCAGTTGCTACTACCACAACTTCAGCTGCAATACAAGCTACCCAACCTCCAGCATTGGCCACTACTCAGAACGCTACAGTCCAGGTAGGTTAAATGTTATGTGCTCTAAAGAGTAGTAGCATCATTTATCTGTATGTTAACAGATGTTTATTGAGAATTATTGCAGTTCACCAAATGTCAGGATGACAAAAGTCAAAACTTTCAAGATTTTGGTTTTTATGTTTGAGCAATAAGTAGTGTATTAATAGAAAATTTAAAATATATCTTCTGACTCAAGCATCTACTTTCCAGATATTTTATTTTGTGGTCAAAATGAGGCTTTTGCTACTGAGGTTATTTTTGCGGGGGGGGGGGGATGTCATAATGGTTAGTGCTTATCCTTCTACTGTTGGGTTTAATTCTCACCCCATCCATGCTGAATTTCTGGCAGGCAAAGTGAGTAAAGCGAATAATTCCATCATTTCTCCATCGTCATTCACCTCATCATTGATAATGTTACTATCAAATACTCTAGATCACTTGTGGCTCTTGGTGACCTTAGTAGTTAAGGGTCTCAAAACTCAAAATAATAATACTAATAATAATATCAAAACAGGGTTGAAAGTCAAAGAAACAGACATTTCTGTTACCATGTAGTTGCCCTATTGTGGTGTTTTCCTAGTCTTGCTAGTCTATTGACAGTTTGTATTTTTCAAGATTTGTCATTTCTCTGAACTCGGAAACTGTTCAATAATTGTACTGTTAACCTGAGTGCATACATTGTAAATTAACACCATAAAATGCTTTGTTTAGTTATTGAAGTATTACGTATATAATATTCTTTCTCCTAATGATTGAAGAAAAAAAAGGTTATTAAGAGGACTTCATTTTAAAGGAATTTGTTTAATGTTTTCAGCGTACAACTGTTGACACCACCAAAGAAAAGTGCAGAAAATTCTTGGCCAATTTATTGGAGCTATCGAGCAGAGAACCAAAGGCTGTTGAAAGGAATGTGCGGACGTTAATCCAAGAACTCATTGACACAAAAGTGGAACCAGAAGAATTTTGCGATCGTTTAGAAAGGTTACTGAATGCTTCTCCACAACCCTGCCTAATTGGATTTTTGAAGGTATGTTTCTTGACATTTCTTTATAATATATAAAGCTTTTTATGTGGGATTTTTAAAAACTTTTTTTAGTATGTGCTTCTCAAATATCAATCAAGTCATGACACAAATTCATTTTGTTTATTTGAAAGTAACTAGGCTTTTCAGAATAGTAGTATGTAATAGTCTTTAAATCGAGACCAGATCATTTCTGGAGTACATTTGAATAATTGTTCACATTGGTAGTTATGTATGAAAGTAGGCTTTGTATGCCCAAATGGATAAACACTTCTGGCCCATCAGCATGCAAAGCAGTGTATTGTAGATATTGAATGTATTCTTAAAGTTGTGAATAGAAAATAATAAAGGCTTTGTCAGAAAGTCTTGGTATGTGGGTGTTGTTTATATTGTGATGTTCATTGAAGCATGTTGAGTGTGTGAGAAATTGTGTTTTGTCTTCCTATTTGATAATTTTGGAGTAGTTAACTCATAATAAGAGATTTGTGATAGGCTGCTTTGGATGAGAAAACAAGTCAAGTTAATTCTACAGTAATTTAGTCTTTTGTAGGGGATCAGAGTTGGATAGCACTGCTCGTATTACATACTTATAAATAATGTTGATCTCTGTAAGAAAATATACTTGCTGGTCATAAGCATGTATTTTTGTTTGGGAAAAGAGTGTTGATGAATTTAGTGGGAAAAATAATGTTGCAGAGCGATCTTTATAAGAAAGGACTGTTTTGGTGACTAGTGCTGGTAACATAACTGAAGGTTCTGTGGTTGTTGTGTCCTTGAGCCCATGTGACTCTCCTTCCTTCATTTGTGCGTTTGCAGTTGGCTTACTTGTAAATGGCTTCAGTGCTTCCTTTTGTGATGTCCTCGTCTGATGAAAATATTGTTTGCCATGAGAATTAATTGAAATTAGGAAGTGGAGTGCTATGTGCTCTTCTGTAAAAGTTCTTTTTTTAGAAACTACATTGAATTTACGTTTTGCGTGATAAGTACTATGTGTATTTGAAAACAGAGTCTTGAATGTGAGATGCATACTGGTGCATGTTTCCTGCTCCTGTACGGTAAGGTGTTGAGCTGTGATTGAGACTGTTCTGTGCTTTGCATTTTATCAATTTATTGTTTTATATAATTACATGGTTGTGAATCGTGAGAAGCCATGATGTCTTAACGGGAGCCATAATCAAACAAACACGTGGACGAAGAGACATGGCTGAACAGCTGTTGCAGTGGAGGGATACTTCTCTGAAGTACATTTGTTCACTTGTTTAGCGAACTGTCACTTCAGTACCTTCTTAGTTTTATTCTTCTATATCAATATCACAGTAATACTCAGTACAGTGTTAAAGTATTGAAGTTACACCACTGTAGATAAATTGTATCAAAAGCAAATTGTTGAGACCTTCAAAATGCTGATACAAAATGCCTGTGTCACTATTAACTTCTCAATTCTTCTGTTTACACAAACCTTTCTTCTCCATTTAGTGTTGTGAAATGTTTTCCGCTATTTTATCATGCATGCTCTCATAGTTTATTTTTAATGTCCCTTTTTTTTATACAAAAGAGTTGAAACATTTTTTGATGCTTTGACTTCATAAATATTGGAGTTGTGGAAGCAAAAGTATAATTACCTACTAGTGTACATATTCTTGCAGTTTTTTGACTAGTTCATTAGTTGAAATATTAAGAAAATATTAAGTATGGATAAAACAAAGCACTAGTGAAAAATTTAAAATATTTCCATAAGTTTGTTAAAAATATTGTTACTTTGTGTAAAATTTTAAATCAGATATTATATTTTGTTTTATACTCCTAAGTATTATTGTGGAGTAATGAAAGAAGCAAAGGAAAGCTAGTGTTATAATTTCTTAGAGCCTCAATACCTGAACACTGATATCACTTCTTGCTTAAATGAATTCATAGGCTTCCGCGGCCAGAGTCATCTGGGCTGTCCGGGTGATGCCATGTTGAGAGCTGAGGTGCTAATGTTTCGACCAACATGTCACAGTGATCTTCAGGGCTATTGGTGCAAAGGCTGGCTGTTGTGATTCACCCAACAGCCCTGAAGAAGACCGCGATATGTTGGTCGAAATGACAGCACCTCAGTCCTTGAGGCAGTCTCACTCGGACAGCCCAGATCATCTCTTACTGCTTATGTTGAATTTAACACAAACCTTTTAACTTCCCTATGCACGTAATATTCAGTAACTTTAACATGAAATTGTTGAAATATTTGATTACTCGATTTCTGTTTCTTTTCTCCCTTCAAATTCAAGATATTGAGGTAATTGAAGAATATATAAATTTTCTTTTTATCTTGACTCGAATAAGTGGGACATCTCCTGTCCTAAGCTGTCAGTAGCTGGTAGTTTGGCTAGTGTCAAAAATTTTTGGCTGTTTGGGAGATGCTGTCTCCTAAGTGTTGTTGCCAATGTTATGGCCATAATGGGATTTGGCCCTGAAGTTTGGGATGGCATTAACACACACATTGGCAACCATGCCTAAAATGTAAAGTTTCCTGCACAGCCAAGTATCTGTAGAATAATTAGTATTTGTCTAGTTTTTTGAGACATAAATGCTCGTGCATACTACTGGTTTCATGACAAAATGAAACTACACAACTGATTGCAGTGGAAGCTGCATTGTACCAAGATTACTTGTGTGAAATTTGTGTGAGGTAGTGCCTATTTATTTACAGAAGAGTAAGACAGAGTACTATAGCAAATCACATTTGTGTGGAGTCATCCTTAAATTTTTTACTTCCTCTAAGAAAGATTCTAAAATTACCCTTTCCTTTACTAAGTTCTACAATCCGTTGCATGGTTCTTGATGTGAAGGGAAGGGAACATGTCTCGTGCAGTCAGCTCAATCTCACAACTCCTAAAACCATTGTTCTCGTGCAGTCTTTTAAATCCCCTTGTGTGCATGAATTATTAAACATACATTTTAAATAACAAGCAGAAGAATATTCTCCATTAGCTGGTGCAATCTTTTAAAACCGTTCATGTGCGTGAATTATTAAACATATGTTTTAAATAAACAGAAGACTATTCCCCATTTCCTGAGTGCAAGTACAATATTGTACTGCCATTAAACATTTTAGAAGTGTCCAGTAGAGTTACAACTATCATAATTGAATGTACCTAAATGGGTGGCCACTATTGTTCATGCAGGAAGAAAGAGACACTAAGCAACAATCTACACCAGTGCCCTTTCTGTTGCAAAACCCCGTGTTTTTGGGGGTTTAGAACTTAATTTAATTGGTTTCTTCAATTCAATGTCTGGCTTAATTAGAGAAATTATGATAGAAAATGTATGGAAAAAAGAGGTTTTAAGATCTGCCGAACAAAATTTAAGTATTTAAGGTCTTCTATTGCAAGGGATGTATGCTTTAAGGCAGAAAGTAAGCACAGAAGTGCTTGTAATTCAAACAACTGTAGGAAGTTGAGGAAATTTCTGTGAGATAGAGAAATGGGCTGTCAAATGAAGGGAAAACTTCAAGATCAGTATTGATCTACCATGCGGAGTCATGATCTGTTGATGCTGGAAAACTGGGGGTGGCTAGAGCATTTTATTCAGACACGGAAGGGGGGATTAATCATGGAATGTGAATGTCTGAGCCTTGTTGCCGAATTAGACATGCATTATAAAGTATTCTTTGTGCTTTAAAAGTATTAGCTGGAAAGATGCAGAAGTTTTTATTCTCGGTGAAGTGAGAGGATTTCTCCACAAGGGAAACAGCAAGGGATAAGATCAGGAAAATTCAATGATCTGGGACAATCAAAAAATTTTTAGACAAATCACTAGTATTAGGAACATTTTTTACTCAATTATAAAACTTGACCACAACATCAACACCTGTTTAGGAACAACACTCCTGTCCTGGTGGATAGTGTTTTCTGGTCTCATTATCTTGTCCCTTTTGCTAACTATTTCTCACACATTGCATTAATACAACAGAATCTGACATACTAGAAAGAAAAAGTCTATTGTATGATAACAGCATTTTAATGTTGTTAGGTTATTGTTTCTGGTGCAGAAGTGAATGAACCATATTTGTGTGTAATAGAAGATTGGGGACAATTTGAAATGAATTCAGAGGATTGTGTTGCAAAATGCTGTCCCTTGCAGTCCTTGCCTATGTTCCACAATGAATGACAGTTGGCAAGCATACCAGTAATTAAGCTTTTATTTGTCAGAGAGGCTGTTCACGAAAAATTATTCTTATGATGGTTAATTGGAAAAGAGACGGTGTTTCTGTTTCCCTTTTCCAATTCTCCATCGTAAGAATCGTTTTTCATAAACAACCTCAGTTATTATAAATGGGTCACAGAAATTTATTTAAAAAAATGAAATAAAAATAGGACATAAAATATGGAACAGGGAGTTCAGCACTTGCTGTGGCAGAAAAGAGATAAAGAGGGCGACTTGAGATGGAAGCACGAGATGACAGAAGACTTTAAAGCGAGGTTTGAGCAAAGATGAGAAGTTTATTACAGGGGAAGAAAATTAAGGGGAATTTAAATTTTATATTATAAAAGGGAAAATGGAACGAAAAGAATGAGGCGTGTAAAAGATTGTTGATCCTGCTAAAGAAGAATAATTTAGTTATATACTACAGTATATTAACTTCACTTTCTGAAATAATTCAAGAGTGCTTAAAGTATGTTGCCAATTGTTAGGAATTGTGAAAAAATAATCTTAATAGCAGCAGCAGAGCATGTTATTTCTTATCAGAATTTTGCTTGTCAAAAAAGACATGTTTTCTTTTTTATTGCAGTGCGAATTTAATTCATCGTTACCTTATGGGATATGGATTAACTCCACCTTTCCATCATTAATGGCCACTATACCATGGTATGTTATATGTCAGCTTTGACTAAAATTATGTTTCTGAATTCATTTCTTTTTAAAAATGGTGGAGAAAAGAATTTTTTTAACAATAAACAGGAAAACTTATACATAGGTTACATATCTTGGACTGCAAGGGAAAAGTGTAGTGGTTTATCCAAGAA